TTTTCCCCTCAGAAGTTCTTAGATAGAAGAACTTGCTACTTCTGCAACATCTCCCCACACAGATGTAACTTTACCACAGTTGAACTGCTGTAGGGGTAAAGGAACTTAGACTTTTGGATATAAGAATTTTTTTTTTAATGGAAAAGGTTATCAAGCATTGGAACAGGCTGTCCAGGGACGCAGTTGAGTCCTCAGCCCTGGGGATGTGTGAAGAAAAGTCAATGTGGCCCTTATGGACACGGCCTAGTGAGGGACTCGGCAGCGCTATTTGCAGTCAGACTCAGTGATTCAAATCATTTCCTACCCAAATGATTCTACAATTTGTTTGGAAGAAAAGTGAAATACTTTCAGACAGAAGTCTTTTAATGGTGTTGCTGTTTTATCCTGGTAACTTTCACACAACTTGAAGTTTAATTATGTTTACTGTTTCTCTCTGGGACAGAGTTAATTTCTTTCCAGCTGCCCTTTGGTGTGATGTTTATACTGGTGACCAAAACAGTGCTGAGAAACACCATTGTTTTATTTAGGAAATTGGTATTAAGTATATAAACTTCCTTACATTTATAAATACTGTTCAAGGACAGTCTGCTTAAGGAAATGAATAGTTAAAAATGTTAAGTATTGTAGAAGAATGTTCCAAGAGATATTCCCCCCATCACTTCCTGAGATATTTAAAAGATGAAGGTGAAAATGGATGCAGCTGCATTGAAAGAAATGTTTACAGGCTGGCACAGGAAAACATCAGTGCCATCTGTGACAAACAACCAAGCCATTCAAAACTCTTGTTACCATAAACTACAAAAATGTCTCCTAATTAGCTAAGAATCAGCTAAAAAAAATTGTTGATGAATGCATTTACTGTAAAACAATTATTTTAACAGAGAGGGTAATATAAACAGTCTGGTAGGGAGAAAAACATCAGTACTTTGACAAGATTAGTCTCAAAAACTTCATAACACAGGAAGATCAGTAATACCGAATAATGGCAATTGTTATTAAAAAATAATTAAAATCCTCTATAGAAAGAAGATATTCAAACCAGAATTATTTCCCTGGATAGATTAATTACCAAATGACAAGAAAACTATTCAAATAATTGTGGAAACTCAAGTAGTTTCACTGACAGAGTTATCAAATAATTTGGAGGACTTCTAGTAGGTTCTTTACTGCTGAGGCCATACATTGTGTCTGCTATGACACATCAAGATAGCTTTTATAAGGCTTTTGGAAATGTAAATGTCTCACAGCTTTGTGCTGTGAGTCACCTTGCCCTCCTTTTAAACTGATCTTTGGAGTGGCTACACACAAGTTGGGCATGTTCAGCCAGAAGAGAAGGCTGTGGGGGCTTTACAGCACTTTCCAGTGCCTACTAAAGGGGGCCACAGGAGAGCTGGAGAGGGACTTCCACAAGGGCATGGAGCGATATGAGGAGAGCTGATGGCTCTAAACTGAAAGAGAGGAGGTTTGGATTGGACATTGGGAAGAAATGCTTTCCTGGGAGGGTGCTGAGGCCCTGGCACAGGGTGCCCAGAAAAGCTGTGGCTGCCCCATCCCTGGAAGCGTTCAAGGGCAGACTGGATGGTCTGAGGTTTGAGCAGCGTGGTCCTGTGGCATCCTGCCCATGGTAGGGAGTTGAATCTGGACAATCTTTGAGCTTCATTCCAACCCAAACCCTTTTACGATTCTATGACAGAAATTTATCAGGAGTGGACATGCCTTTATGGCAACAGTGCCCAAACCACAGCTTCTGAGCAAACTTTGCTCACAAAATTGTGTTGCAGTGATTAATGCAATGGGAAATAAATAATATATTTACATTGAAGACGGAAGATATCTCAGCAACTGCAGTTGAATAAGGTACCTTATTTTATTACTATTACTGCTAATATGTAAAGGAAGGTTGTGGAACACTGCATTTCAGTTGGACTTTCAGATATTTTTTGTTTCTTTCCCAGTTCCTAACTGAGTCCCCAAGGTCAGCAAACTGACTTTGGTTAGACTGCTGGTTTTTACTTCACATGCACTTGAGACTGCCCACTAGCTCCCATCCACATCCTCTTCTGAAACACATGAACTTGTGTCTTCCCATTTTTTGTACCAATCAAAAAAACCCCAAACCTCTGTTCTATATTTTCAAGGTTATGGAGTGACAGTTTGGTGAGTAAAGATCTCCTTTCATAGCGCGTGCTTTTCCATAAATCAATCGGTCATTTTGAACTACAGCGAAAGAACAGAGGAAGTATCAGATGTGTCCATTATTAAGGCAGAAATTTTAGACAGCCCATCACTAAGAGGCTAAACTGGAACTCAGTCAACAAAAGTTGATGCTATTGACCTCAGAGATATTAATGTTTTATGCTGCATTTTTGTAGCTCTAAGCACTAAATTTATTACCTGTTCAAAATACAAGGAAAAATATCTGACACATAAATAAAACACATTTTTAAGAAAAAAACATTGCATCTCACGCTTCAGTAAGGATGCACAAATAACTGGGAAGAAAATTTTAAAACAAAATCACATATTATATTCCCAAGACATGAATAACACAGGTATCATTGCAGCTCAATGATGACTGAAACTGCTGAAAGTTTACAAATGTTATGTAATGAACCTACTATAAATAAAAAGTCTGGGAGGCAAAGGTTAAGGTTCTGCAAGTTCCAAAAGAACCTCCTGATTTTTTTATCCCACTTCACCCTGGCCTGTTAGTTTAAAATCTCTGAGGCATACTCAATATTACCCAAATCCCAAGCATTATTATTTCAGTTGCTCTTCAATTTAATGAAAACATTCCTCATGACTGAGTGTGCCAGTAAATTAATGACTTCTGCTAATGTCACAGGCTCAGGAAAACACAGCATCCCACCCTCCTAACATAAAAATGTTCAGCAGAGCAATAATCATATGTCAATGACATTTTTCTTACACACATAAACACTACACAAACACTTAAGGTTGGATTAAAGTAACACATTAGTTTTCAATAGTATCGGAACAAAAATTTCTTTCAAAAACCACCAACGATACAAAATTTGTTACTCTCCTTCAGGAAACAAGAAAATCCTAATGTGCCCATCATGGGACCAAACAGATTCTTATCTCTGCAATGATGATCTCAATCACACCAATGCTTGTGCCATATTCTGGATTATATTAGGAAGCAAGAATAACTCAGATTAGGTAGCACTGTGGACATAAATCACCATCCCTGGAAATGTCCAAAAAGTGTGTGACTGTGGCATTTGGGGACGAGGTGAACACGGTGGTCTTGGGTTAACAGTGGGACTCAGTGATCTGAAAGGTCTTTTCCCATATAAATGATTCCATGATTTTATGCTACAAACCACTTTTCTGCCCCATATTTACTCTAGCTCCTTTTGTTTTCTCAAATAGCTTTGTACATTTTTGGGAAATATTTTAATAATTGAATCCCAGGTTCTTACTGAAATGTAAACTCCTGTATGTATTCTAGTAAATGCTGCCAGTTCTTAATATACAGCAGAGATCCTAAGACAGTCAAACCCCTCACGTGGCTGAAAAACTATTGTTTAGGGTATGCATGAGGAGCCAAAAAATACATGTTCTAATAGCTGTGTTTTAAATTAACTTTGCACATGCTTTTGTGTTTGCATACTGTGGCTATTTTGGCATACCTAGAGCTTTTAAGAATTTACACAATAACTGCAATTATATCTTTTGTGCTTTCCTAATGTACTGTGCACTTCAATGGAGCTCATCCCAGTGCTCAAGCAAAACATTCCTCACTGGATTTTCTCATCATGGTAGATGACAGTCCTTACTTTTTGCTAGAGCAAAAATTCCTTGATTCATTTCTCATTGTGGTATATGACAGTATGTACTTTGTCTGGGATTTTTAAAGGAAACAAAAGTTTCAGAATTAGAACTCAGATTGCATGAGACTGCATACAAAATGTAAAACACAGAAGTAACTGTGAGAGATGGAAATTATGCCTAGGAATACAAAGAAAAAGAGTAATCCATAAAATTGAAAACAGGCTGAGATTAAGAAATGTCATATGGCTTGAAATCCCTGAAGGCAAAGACACAGAAGGCATTTTACAAAATGGATTATTAAGGTGCTGAGGGTAGACAGTTTCTACTTCCTTCTGGAACAGAAGATGGCAAATAAAATGACTGAAAATGGAACAAGATGTTTCTCTCAGAAAAACAGTATTTTCTGAGCTCATTTCAGAGAAGCGAGTAATTATATGCCTCATACACAAGAATCAGGAGATAACACAAGCTAGTTTAAAATAAGTGATACACAGTATGTACACTGACATCAGAACTACAAGCTGATGCAGGACACATTAAATGCTCCAGAACAGTGCATCTTACTTTACAAGTGAAGCTCCAAATGCCCCTAAAACTCTGTGACATGCATTAGCTGAGTGGAAAGAAAAAAAAAAAAACCAGGTTCTGAAAGTGCAGCCACTGACCAAGCACTGATGGTTGAACTTTAGAGAGTAAAAATGCTGCTCTACCCCATGCTCACTGTCCCCAAGGATGAGAGACACTATTAATGTTTTCATTTTTCTGATTTAGGCCATCTGATGCCATATTACCAAACACTAAAGTCCATACTGGTTCTTACTTAAACCATAAAATTTTTGTTCCAATTTGCAAAACAGAAACTTATTTTTCCTTTTATTTCAAAAAAAAAAAAAAAAGAGTTGTATTTTTTTTTACATTCCTGCAGCATAGTAATTTTTTAATATGAAATTTTATTATGCATAACAGTTAGCATTGGATTTAAAGTTAGATAGATACTTAGTATTCAGAAAAGCAAAAGAGGAACATAATAATGTGTACTCATGTCATTCTTGCATCTCTAATTCTTACTCACAACACAGGCAGCTCCAGTCCCAAGAACAACTAAAATTTTTCAGACAAGTCTATATTGGAAGAATATCCACTTACAGAGAGTCAGAATGCCAAAATCCAGTCCAAAACCAACAAAATGGTGAGAGACTTACCCCATTTAAGGGAAATGTTTTCCATCCTAGTTCTCCCAGGGCAGTTGTAGTATCAAGTAACACAACTGAAAATGGAAAAAGAAATGGTGTTTGTGGTATTCCTTGGATTAGACATAGCAAAATATTAAAACAGGAAGGACTGAACTTGCCATGTTAGCCAGGTTCACTTGGGCTTTCGTTTCATACCTAAAAAAGTCTCAAAACTCATAAAAAGCCCTAAATCTCTTGCAGAAATCACTGCCAAATCACAGTACATGACTGATATTTAACCACTAAAAGATGCCTGATCAAACATGCACATTCCTGCCATCCCTTGCCTGGAAAACTGGAAAATCTGCAGCATTAAAGCTAATAAAATGCATAGTTTCAAAAGTAAGAGTTTTTAAATGAAACCCATAAACTTCCCAGAAATAAAGTTATTCAATTTACAAATTGAGAACACAGAAAGACAAACAACATCAGTTTTTCTCTTGGATGGAGTACTACAGTATCAGTATCTGCTGCGTGTATTTTGCATCACTTCTGTCATATTCATGTTGGGTTTTTTGATAGAAGATAGAATGCAGGTTATTGTATATTACAAAATGTTTCTGCATTATTTTGATGTTAAATTACACTAACTTCCTTTTTTACTTCCATTCCCTGATGCTAAACAAAATATACACAGCACATGAGACATTTTACCCACAGGTACTACTGCCCTCTAATGGAATTGTTTCATCCGACCCTCTAACTTCAGAAATCTCTATTGGGATTTAAACACAAAATTAAGTATTATACAGGGCAGTTTGTTTTAATTATTGAGTGATGTGTTTTGATTGCTGAGTTCCTCCTTACAGCCCACTAATTTCAGCTCTTATTTGAATGGTTAAATGATGGAGAAAAACAATTAAGCAATTAATTTGAAATGTGACCTTACTATCCACACATTTGTGGGGTCTATATTGCTGTGTGCTACCTTCTACCTCTTGTCTGTCGAAATAATCAATGTACAGCTCTCTCTAATGTGTTTATAGCAGCAGCAGAAGTCAGGTCATGTTGTTCTGCCTTATGGAAGAGGCACCTTGGCATGGACACTGAACTTGGAACTGTGTTAGAGGGAACCTGAGCCAGCATCTTCCCTTCTCTTTTGTACCAGTGACACTTGGAGCTGCTCTGCCTTTGAATGGGTGCTGACTTCTAACCTCAAACTGAAGTTTGCTGTCTCGTCAACAGACTTACAGGCAAGTAAAATACTCAACATAAACCACAGAAAAGCTTAATGTTTATGTGAAGAAATAATGACATTTTAAAAATACATTCAACAAACGGGGGTATTCTGCTCTCCACTTCTTCGCCACTTCACTGTATGAAGCTTTGTGAATAATATGAGTAAAAAATTAATAACTTTTTACAATCCCTATTTTACTTAAAAAAAGGGTCACTATTTTCATTGAGATTATTTGCTGTCTTTTATATGATTTACAGCTGTCATAGTATTTTCTATTTGTGTCAGGCTACCATGCTCTTGTGCAAGAGTCAAAAAAAGCATCTTCTCACTTGACATTCGATGCAGCAGTTTCCTGTGTAAAACTTTTAAGCTGATCATAACTGGGGATCTGTTACCTCCAAAGGGGAAAAAAAAAAAAAAAACAAAAAAAGAGTTTACACATATCTTTTTCATAGAGGACCAACTGCTCAGCATGTTTCTGAGAATATTTCATTTCATCCTAGGTGTTTGTTTTCTTCTTACCATCCCTCCCCCCATCTTCTCTCCCCCCAGAAAACAAGGCCTATTTGTTATGTACTTTGTTTTCAGCTGAATTTCAAATTACATCTTGCTCTTTGTCAAGTGCTATTCCTACAGACCTGCAGGTAGAAATAAATTTTTCTCTGAGCAGCATTAATTAGGGTTTGAGGTGTCATTTCAGTTTTACAATTTTTGTGGTAGCAAAACTGTGATTTAATAAACATCATCCAGGTATTCAAAAATTAATACTTCTGTGGAACAAGACCCAAAATACAGAAAGGAAAACTAATTCATTTCTTCAGTGGAGCCTGAATTAATTAATTCCTTGCCTGAATTAATCAAGTACTACCTGAAGGCTCAAAGCTATACATTAAAAAAATTAAAAACCTAGAGTAAATTCATCACTGAAAGTATATTAAGTTTAGATTTAGTTGAGCCATGATTTAATAATATTCCTCATACACATTTACCAAATGATCCCCAATGAGTAATTGAGTTCTGTTAAAATACAGTTTTTGATACATTTGACATACCAAGGCTCTTGAATGCTCACATATTCTCACCTGTAGCTACCAAATCTGTAAGAACTGGCAAAATCAAACCACTTGGAGAATTCTCTAACTAGAGGATTCAAACCACCAAATAACTGCTAACACAAACTAGAATGGTATCACCTTCAGGGTCATAAAAATTAAAACACTGTCCTTCCAACAGCACTTGTATTATAAGACATAAAATAATTAGCAATCAAAAATGTGCAAATACTGAAATATCAAGTAAACCTTATGTTTATGCCAAAGAAACACAAACTCCAGTGAAGCTGTGGATTGAACAGAGTCTGCTATTCAAATGAGGACATGGATAAAGCAATAAAATCCTCGAGCACTTCAGAGGTTTGGAGATATCTACATGCTAGACTTCAGTGTGGGACAGAGACACCCAAGGTATCTTTAAATGAGGTGATGAAGAAGCAGCACCGCCCTGGTGGCAGACAAATCTGCACTGCCAAGGCACTGCCAGCTCACAGCTCTGATGGCAGAAAATCCCTCTGCCAAAGAGCTCCAGGCTAGGAGGGACTGCCAGCATGCAAACATCTGAATTACACTGAATTACAGACAGGACTGGGGGCTTCCCTTCTGCCTGCAGGACACGGAAAGTTCCAAAAGAACTGGAAATTCATATGCAAAGAGACTAAAAAAAGATGGTAGGCACCACTCCTATGATGCTGATAATGAGAAAATTCCCTAAAAAGCTAATGGGATCACAAAGTCATATTTATTGACCCTTGTCCCTACATTTACTTATTTATTCTCCTTTGTATGCCATAAAAAGCTCCATCCTTCTTAAAAAAAAATGAAAAGTGTCCATTATGGACGAGCCATTAGCTGCCAGCAGAAACAGAAGTGTCTGGAACCACTGCAGTGAGTATTTTACGGGAAAAGCTCTGAGTACACTGGTTGAGACTCAGCAATGTTATTGACATTTGTGACACCCAACCTCCACTTTTAGCAGGCACTTTTCTGAGGTGATGGCTCTAAAACTTGCACAGGGAACAGGAGTTTAGGTCTGCCAGTACAAAGTCATGGCACGATTCAAAATGAACTCAAAGACCCTTTTAAAAAACTCAGATTCAGCACTTGAATATCCTTTCTTAAATAACTGAACTGGGGATTCTAACACTTCCATAATAATATACAGACTTGAACATCCATCTGCAAGCCTATTGCTTAATTACTTGGACATTTCATTCTTAGAAGAGTTTAGTTTTTTTTTCCAGCACATACTTTAATATATATTATTATTACTCATTATGTCTTATTGAGCTTCAGTTTCCTTTTTTCTGGACACTATCTTACACTGCTATTATTGGACTTTACAACTGAAATTAATCTTTTCAGAGGTTTTACCCGGTCCCAAGGAAACTGTTTTACCTAAAATTACGACGAGCAGAGCTCCAAGGACTGACAGGGTGGAATTTTAATTTTCATTCCAAAATACTCTTCTAAAGATGAACTCTGCCATTTTGTCTGTACAACCAAGGAAAAAAGCCCTCCAAATATTCATTTCACCAGTATCTTTTCTCCTCCTTTTTACACATCACTAGACAGGGTATGTGTGAATTAACACAATTAATACATGATTTTGGTCAACTTCATTGAATCAGTCTGATATTGGTTCACCCAGCTTGATCTGCTCATTTTAAACATTTCACTGTTACCTCTAGAGTGGGTAAGCCAAAGATTTGCAAGGAAAGCAGAGCAATACACAGACATTCCTTTCTGAAGACAGCACTAAAATTCAGGAACATCTCATCTGTACCACGGAAAAGTTTCAGTATCTTCCAGCAAGGCAGGGAGGCATTACAGATGACCCCCAGAAATGGGCAAAATTGGCAGCTTTTTTTGTCCCTGAGAACTTTATTATTGACTGCAAAGTTCATATTTATAAGGCAAACACAGAGAGCTTTTAAAGTCTCTCACTTCCAGCCCTCAAGAGAGTTGTTGCTGTCTTCTGAAGGGTCTGTATTTTCGTTCAGGTTTTATGGGTTTTTTTTTTTTAATTTTTAAAAAGAGGATCACATGCAGTTTTCTGAAATCATTCCTTTTAACAATATGTATTAAGAGTCCTGGCTATTTTTATATCCTATTTATATAACCAGGGTCACATTAGCCTATTTTTTTTTGCTGCAGCATTGTGCTTATAGGCTGTTACTACTCTACAACATCACTGTCCTGTACAGATTCACTCCTTTTCATCATTATATTTTTCAGTTTGGATTAAATTTCTACTCTTGAATGTACAAAGATCCATTGGTTTATACTAAAACAAATTTTATTTGCAAGGGCTGACCTTTACCAAGTGATAAAGGCTCCTCCCTGTCTACACATCCTCTTTCTGTCTTTATTTACTGCTCTTTAGTCAGGTATTGAGTTTATATTTATTTTCCTGTTACTAATTAAAAAATGTTAGAATACTGAATGATGTATTATGAATATCTCAAATTCTGTGATTTAACAGTCACTAAAACTACTTTAAGGCTTCTAAGACCTCAGGGGTTTTTCCTAAACCCATTTAGTAAAAAAAAAAAAAAAAACTGAAGCTTTTTACTGTCAGAAGACTCTATCACATTCTGTTATAATAGAAAAAAATCTCAACATATTACTGCTGGGGCTTGTCTGCCTGAGGAAGACAGAAAGAAGGGGATATGCATTATACAAGTTACCTTGGTAATTAACGTGCAATCAACTGGGAAAAAATATTTAAATGCTTGGTTTTATGACCTGGCCTGTTTTCCATAAACCAAATAAACTGGCATTCATTATACACGTACCAATTGAATCCTTTTCCATAATTTTCATTATTTTGCATTCAACAGCTACCTGGTTTAGGCAAGATTAATGAGATGCAGTAATAAAGTATGAGGAGCACCTGTCTAGATAGCAATTGTGCCAGGCAAGTGTACAGGAGTCACAGCAAATCAGAGAGTAAACAAAGTATTGACAATGCTGTTTGCCTGAGATAAGCGG